TATTGTCCCAAATGTAACACTTCGAGAGTGGGAGGTGATGCTGTTAACAATGATGCTGAGACAAAAGGCATAAATAGGGCTCCAGGCAAACAGGAAACATTAGCCCTCTCAGCACGGCCCGCTTTTGTGTGCTCCCTCCCTCCTCCCTCCAACCTCCTCCCTTCTCCCGGCCGCTGGGGAGATGAACGCCCCCGGGCTTCAGTGTGACGACCTTTGAAACCTTCTGAGCGAGGAGCAGAGAACGACTCTTCCGTTTATTTAAAAAAGAAAAGATTTCATTCTGAATCCCTGGCTCAACCGAGACTGATATCCACTGCCTTGGAGATCTCGGTTTTTACCCACCTCTTTTTTTTCTTTTTACGTTTTTTAAAGGACTCTGCATATCTGTGATCACCAAAACATCCCACAGTTGTGTGCAGTTGGATGCGTGGAATTAAGCGAATCTGAATTCTGATCGGCAGAGGGGCCAGAGTTCCCTTTTGAGTTTTAATGGGGCTGGGGGGAAGCAGGGGGCAGCTGTTCTGGGGAGGCGACCTGGTGATGGCCCCGCAGCCATCTGGGTGGTGCCCGAGGCCGCCTGAGCGGTTCTGGGAGAGAAACTTGCATGGCCCTGGAGAGAGACTCACTTGGAAGGGCGGAAAAGGGCCACTTACCAGGATTTAGGTAGTATCTGGCCTGGAGGCCAACGGGGTAAAAATTGTCCCTTCTTAACACTATCTCGCTGTTAGTGATATCCTATTTAACCTGGTACAGGCAACAACCTGATGACTCTCAAAAACATGGTGTTGTGAGAAAGAACCCAAACACAAAAGAGTTCATACTGCGTGATTCCATTTCCAGGAAATTCTAGAACAGACAGAACTAAGCTATGGGGAGAGGAAAAGTACCCTTGGGGATGAGGAGGTATTGACCGGGAAAGGGCATGAAGGAACCTTCTGGGATAGTGAAATAAAAATAGATTGCCATGTATGTACATTTGTCAAAACTTATAAATGCCGTTTAAGATCTGTGCGCAATTTCACTGTTCAAATTATACTTCGATAAGCAATTTTAAAAAACACCTCGGTGTCCAACCTTCATAACTATGCCTGGATCATAAAGATGGAGAAATTTAAAAATACACTACGTGGACCTCCCCAGCTCTTCTGGTTTTGCTCGTTGGAATCCATGGGATGATCACCCTGGAAAGAGCCCTTAAATCAACCCAGCTAGACACATGTGCAGAAGGCCCTAGGAAGCTGCAGAAGTACCTCTCCAAAAGGATGAAGCCATCTCAGGGGCCAGGGTGCTGTCCTGTGATGGGAGCCTTTCCCAGGCTGAGGAAGAGCCTGGCAGCCCCACCAGGAATGCCTAAGCCCTCAGCTGCCCCCAGAGCTCCCTCCTCAGCACCTGGAGCAAAGCGAAGATCAGTGAACATTTACTGAAATGTGTAAGGAATGAAAAATTACTGATCAAATAAAACCAAAACAGAGCCCCTCCTTTGCCAAACGAAGAAGCAAAGTTTGTATAATTTAAAAATTAAAAGAGGAAGCTTCTCATGCCACCATCTATTGCCTAAACAATGGATTTCTTCCATAATTTGAGACCTGTGTGGAAACATGGAATGCTCACATGAATCAATGCACTCCTATAATTTTTTAACCATAATTTTCTACCGTACTGGCCTTGCCATAGAGATGTTTCATGTAATTTTGTTTTGTTTCGTTTCTTTTCCTTTCTTTGATTGTTTTTCCTTCTCTTTTAAAAAACAAAAACAAGAGGAAAACAGATGGGGGAAGAGAATTGCCAGAAGGAAGATGGCCCCAGAGGGTCAGAGGAGGGATGGCCCAGACCTGCTGTCTCCCTCTTAGTTTGGCCCCACCCACCACCAAAAAAAAGAAAGAAAGAAACAGAAAAGAAAGATGACAAGGAAAAAAATCTCAATCGTCCTCCTGGTCCTGGTCCTAAGACTCAATATGTATTTTGAAAACGAGTAGCAGAGATGGTGCGTCCGCTGAGCCATCACGGAGGAGCAGGAAGGCTGTAACTCCAGAAAGAGGAATCAGACTTGACAGCGGTTTGTGGGTTTGTTTCCTGGGGACCATTGCTCAGAGGAAAAAAAAAAAAAAAAAAGGAAGAAAAGAGAGAGAAGTGGGGGTGAGGTTTGATTTCTCATCATGAAGTAGCTTGCTTGCTTGCTTTTCTTGAATTGACAGCACATTGCCAGGCAGCAGGCCTGTAGTGTAAATTGTTAAATTAGCACATTCCTAATTTTGTTTAACAATTTTTTAGCACCAGTAGGAAAGAGGGAAATCTTTAAATCAACTAATTTAACCCCACTTGTATAAGAAATACAGTTCATAGCTATGTTTTTTTTAATATGGCGTGGTGACAGTATTTGAATCTAATAAGGCTTTATACAGCTTATCCGTAAGAAGCCAGAGCTACACATCCAGATGAGGAGCCAAAGACACGGTCCACTGCTATAAACTACATTGTATTAAATGTTTCATTGCCATCCTAGCTAATAAACACCCTTTGTTAGCCAAGGAGGAGGACTGCAGGCTTCCGGTTTTTCCTCTACTCGTTTACATTTGAAAGGGAGTCTATATGCCTTCAAGAATCCTTAAATCATCTTGTATTTTAATAATTAATCATTTGTTAAAAGAAACTAAAAATACAAAAAATTAGCCGGGTGTGGAGGCAGGCGCCTGTAATCCCAGCTATTTGGGAGGCTGAGGCAGACGAATTGCTTGAACCCGGGACCCAGAGGTTGCCGTGAGCTGAGATTGTGCCACTGCACTCCAACCTGGGTAACAGAGCAAGACTCCGCCTCAGAAAA